CAAATGAAGACAGAATGGTACTTTTTAAAAGTATTCTATTAAAAATGTCCAGTTAGAACCAAAAAGGATTTTACGGTCTGTCATAGAAGAAGCTTTTTATTCTCTTGCTCTGTAGGAAAATAATTTATGTTCTTGTGCCTTAAAGAATCTAGGAGCAGAACACTGATCTGAACAACATACAACGACACATTAAGTTAAAATGGTTCTTGATAAGAGAGTCTTTGCAGAAGTTTCACTGTGCAAAAATTGTACCTTTAGGTGAACAAGCAAGTACTTTAGAAAGTAAAACCTTCGTCAACGTCAACCTTCAGCTAGAGCTTCAAGTGTCTTTTTGCTGTCAAATCTTGACTGATTTTTATCAAGTAAACGTCAGAATAACTGCAGTAATATTACTGGACTGAAGCAGCTCAGCTTTACTTGATTCTCCATCAATCATGTTTTATCGTCTCAAATCTGATCCTCAGGATCTTTTGAGGAGCGTTTGTTTCCAGAAGCTTTACTTTCACTGTTCCTCAGCGGAGGAATGATCTTCACAAGCCTCCAGAACATCTCACATCTTCTGAGGAGCCTTTATTTCTTCAGCTCTCAATCACTGCATTATATGTTTGGATCATTTCAATCTCATCTTACTGAGACATGTTACTGGAGATATAGAGTGATGACTGGTGTTTATATCATGTTATATCTGCTTACTGTTATAAATATCTCACTAATTTACATTACAAGCATAAGAATTTCATCACATAAATGTGACCCTGGAGCAAGTCTTAAGTCGCTGGGGTATATTTGTAGCAATAGCCAACAATACATTGTATGGGTCAAAATTATAGATTTTTCTCAGCATCTGCATCAAATTCATATTTTTGCTCAGTTTGGGCCTCTGATTGAAACTGAGCTGTTTTTTCCTCCATATTCTCACTGTTTCATACTATTGCCCTGCTGACAAGCTTTTGAACCCCTAAAGGTAATTTTTGCAGAGGGACTGCAGGGAACAATGGAAACATTACATTTCTAGAATGTAAAATATGGAGCACCACACCTCAACGCCTGCAACAGAAGAATGCTGAAAATATCAAACTAAATGAATCTCCCTGCTCTCTCCCTCTCTCTCTCTCTCTCTCTCTCTCTCTGTCATTACACTCAAACCATTCTCTGCTCAAACATAAATAAGCCTAGAGGCCATTCGTGTTGTGTGCAAGCAAATCAACGTCAAGCAATCGGTAAAACATTGAAAACAATCCATCAGAGCGTACTTTTTGCATCTGTTCATCAGCAGTGACCAGGATAAAGTCAGACCTGATCGGATTGGGCTATTCATTGGCGGCGTTGTGGAATTACCTATTGATTTTCCTCCTCAAGCATTCTGAAATTAGGTTTTTTTTTTTTCTGACAGAGGTATTACAGAGACAAAACCTGAACATGCATAATAGCCACAAAGCTGATTTTCTCTTTCAAGCTCCATCTACATTACCATTCAAAAGTTTGGGCTTTAAAGAAATTAATGATTTTATTTGACAAGGACGCACTAAATTGATCAAAAGTGACAGTAAAGACATTTATAATGTTACAAAAGATTTCTTTTTCAAATAAATGCTGTTCTTTTGAACTTTCTATTCATCAAAGAATCCTGAAAAATAAAATGTATCATGGTCTCCACAAAAGCATTCAGCAGCATAATTAACATTGATAATAATCAGAAATGTTTCTTGAGCAGCAAATCAGAATATTAGAATGGTTTCTAAAAGATCATGTGACACTGAAGACTGGAGTAATGATGCTGAAAATACAGCTTTGATCACAGCAAT